CCGGATCGCTGCACAGATGACTCGAAAAGCCAGTCCGAGAAACACAAATTACACGACCAGGAGATGGGAAAAAGCGGGAAGGGAAAAATACAGTAAACGAAGGGCAGGTTAAGAAAAAAATGAATTAATAATAAAGAAAAACACATAGATGTCTACTAAATTCAAGAAGCAATATTGCTACTCCGAAATAGTACAATGGTAGTGCTAAAAATAATAATTATAATAATAGCAACAATGATGCACGACAACTTGCTCAGTTTATTAGGAAAGATCCGCTTAAGGGCTTGCATATCGAAATTGTAATTATACATAATTAGCGTACTATAATATAGGTAATTGATCAGCAAGAAAACCCTGATGTTACCTACCGTAGTGTACCGGAACTTTACGCTATTCTATATTTATTTACGTTTAATGAAATTGTCATTTCATTCGTTCGTGCTGTTAGAATGGATATGTTCGAACAGATTCAAAAGTTCCGCCAAGAAGCTCAGACAGTTCAAGAAGAGATTGCAAACAGACACTCAGTCGTCAGTAATCACTTAAGTCTCGTGTTGTCGGTACTTGAGTAGATAACTTCCACAGGACAACACAACTATTCTAATATGAACTGTGTTCGATTAAATGAAGTAAGTTCAAAGTTACTAATCCACTGCTGCTGCTGCTGCTATTGTTACATCAGCTATTGTCTACAATAGTGCTTTGTATGACTTTAATGCCGATATTCGACCAATTCGTCGCCGGGCCCTCTGGGGCTTGACCTGGAGTTGACGATGGTGGACTTTGAACTTAGACGAGAGCGAACTGTTGTTACAGCCGACAGTGAGAGCGAGAAATCCGATAAAATAGAGGATTAAAAGTTAACTTCCCCCCTTACACCTGTAAACATACACACGAGCAGACTTAAACGCAGAAGAGATATAGCTGAAAATTGGAACGTCATGCAAACTCTTCTGACTGATAATTTTTTTTTCTTGACGTCCGCGCGGGACATCAATGTAGGTGTTAGGGCCCAATCAAATTATTCTTGCTAGCCAAGTTTAAACCTAAACTAATAGCTTTGTACCCTGTGAACACTAAATGATATAAGAACTCAGCAAATATAGAACGTTACATTATATATATGTTATATAGCGTTACAATGAATATTCGCATTTATGTACAGTATAAATCATCTGTCATACACCGTTCGGAGCTATGTATGATATGTTATTTCAATATCACACGGAACTATAGACAAGAACGTCGGATGCGCCGGCGCTTGCGTTCCGTACGCTTTATCCACACCATCATCCGAAACGACAGATGGAGCATGAACAAACGGTTGTGGCCACGCGATTCGACTTAGCAGCAACTCATCTGGTTCCTTGCGCTTTCTATTTACGCTGACAGAGACTTGATAGCTGCGACGTATCGGGCCGCGCGCATCATCGCCTCTGGGCATGCTGTCTTCAGTCTTCTGAGCGAAAATGAAATCAGCCCTGAAGTGACTCCTTCTAACGTTTGCGTGCCTGACGACATGTGCCATACACAACGATTTTCGCCCTTTTGTAGATAGCGCCATTAGCATCTGCGGCAAATCGCGACGCAACAACAACAACAGCGATGTTATTTCTTTGGTGATGGTGATGCTCAGGACAACGTGACGCCTGAAGCAGGATTTCGGGAACGCGTAGCGACGAATATGACTATAGAATCTATGCATCTTGGTTGGGCGAGAGGCGTGAAAAGACGCAAATGCAAATTTATGACTATTCATTTCCGGCCTCCTCGACGAAGAGCGAACGAACCTAACAAATCTGACAGCGCATTGGAAGACCGAACGGAAAATAATAAGATATACAAATGTATCTGCGGCGTGTGGTGCTCTTCCCGACGGAAATGCTCTTGTGCGTTTCGACGTTTGAACATTATTTCAAAACTGCTAAGGTAAAAAGTTTTCTTACCATTCCAAGCTGGTGGTGGCTGGCTAGGTCGACGCCTTGTCATGTAGACTATTGAATGCGTCGTGCATGATTGTCCATCGATAGTAGAGTATGGGAATGGCGTCGTCCAGATGGTTAATGCGTATCTCTGAGTAGATTGCCATGGTAACCATGAATATGCACCCATCGCCGGCAAATGGTTACTATAGCATTTTGTTTCCATGCCGTTTCATAGGTATGTTGGAGAAAAACTCGGATAAGTCTAACAAAACCCACAGACTGGATAGCCAACACCTGACAGAGTAGCTCGCATCAGAGCCGACGGTCTGTAATAAAAGCTTGTTCTTCGCCGATTTTGGCAGGAAACCAAAATACGCACAGTTAGCTTCCCCGTGGCTGACTCTCATAGTAATACCTCATGGATGAGATCCGAGGTGAGCCAATATATAAAACGTAGAGGTTGAAAAGCAACCGCGATAGTAGGGCATATTTGGGACATTCGGACAACTCGGTCATGGGCTGCGGGAAATAAACAAACAGAAGTGTTGATCACACGTTTTCGATTCTATAAGGTCGTTATTTAGTTCATGCGTTCCCAAGTCTCAACACACGGATGCTGGCATACGACTTCGAATGTAAGTCTACATAAATCTATTAGTATACAGTTAAATGCTTGTTTCTGCGACTTCTACGTACGGTACCTCCGCTAGACGTTGCTTTAGATGACTGGTTAGTTCCAGCACGGAACGAAGCATATCTACGTCCGGTTTAGAACCAAGGCTACCACAATTCCCGAAACCTAGTAGTTATGTCCCAGTTGGCTGATGAAGACTAATCACCGATCAATATTATCGTAACGTTACAAGGTAAATATTTTGTGACGTTTTGTTGAAGCGCTTCCTTATCCTAGGTTCCTATTTGTCTTGGACGCGTCCCTTCGTTCTCCTTTTATCACCGGTCCGCAGTAAGAGGTACTGTTTTAACATCTTCACTCGTTCTTCTACCATGTGTCCGTATCGGTGTGGAAACACTTTTTTAGTGTAGACGTTTCACTGAATTTGAACGCGAAGTCGATTCTCTCAACTGCTTCCGAATGTTTACCTCGCGCGCGCTGCCACACACAATCAAACACGAGTTTCGAATGCAAATAGCTCTGGCTGGAACAGATACCTAACGGAATAACCTTGCATTACTTCTTACAACATGGGAACGACGGCGGCTGCAGGAGTGGGCAATAACTGGGCTCCAGCGCGAATTCTTCGACTTCAAAATTCACAGAGATGACTGCTGCCAAGTGCCCGTTCGCGAAATCGGGTCGCTGAAGGACATTTCCAGACCCAGCTGAGAACAGCGAAACAATAACAGGGGAGTCGACGCGACGGCCGATTTTGAACGTAGTCTTGTTTGCAATGGCGGGTATCAAAATGGCAACCATTTTAACCGCTTTGAATTGGCAAATCTAATTGTCTCTCTCTCTCTCTCTCTCTCTCTCTCTCGCTTCACCTGCGCTGTAGACAGCTGTGCGTATTCTTTCCCGCACAATTGTCCTTGTGCTTACCCTACACTATTTGTCAGACCTTGTCTTTGTCACACATTGTGTGGAACTCGATAAGGATGAAAGTACACGCGGAGACGTTTGTTAGTAGTAAAAAGCTCCGACATTAAACAGATCTGCCGTAGCAGACGACAGCATGGAAGAGAATGAGGGAATTCGATGCTGCTGAGTTCGTCGTAGGCCCAATGAAGTTGAATGAAGGGGCGACTCAATGACGTAGAGTATACGGGTGAACGGAAAGCAGCATCGAACGATGAGAGCGTTTTGGAAAGAAAAACACGGCGGGAGTGAGATCCTCCGCACGTGAGCCGTGTCACAGGACGAGCTGATGGATAGAATACAAGAAGTCGGGTGAAGATTCAAAACCTTCAAACAATCAGCTAGCTAGTGAAATATAGCGTTCGCCAACTGCTGACGGTGCAGACAGGCACTTCGGCCAACATGACGAGCTCCTGTCATAATAGACGTTTCAGTGTAATTCGGTAACTATATTTAGGATACATAGCGCGAAGTTGTATACGGTCTGCTGTAATAGCTATCAATAAGTATATAGATAAGCGTTGATATGAAGAGAAGTAAATAAAAATAACAGAACTGGAATGTTAAAACTTAGTAGCGTTTGAGTTTTTAGTATTGTATTATATTAACTACAATACAGTTATATTCAATCAGACGTAATACTACGCAATACGTAACAGTGTGATATGTTTATTCAAAGTTTTTTTTTTTCTAAATCTATGAATTCGACTGAGATAGGTTAGATAGATAGAAGCATAGCTTCTATGAATAGAAAATGTATATGTGTTTTTTTGAATAACTTTCTTTGTCGGCGCATGTATCATTGACGTGAAACTTGAATTTAATTAACATTTGACAAGATTTCGTTTATTGGACCGCATCTGGGATTTACATGGGGCACACTTGTAAACACCCTAGGGGAACCTTAAAATAATAAATCAGACCATACACACAAAATAAGTCATACGAAACGGTGCATTTTGGTGAAAAATCCATTAGTTCTACTTGCAAGGCCTAGCCTCGGTTTGGTGCATAGTACTGCGCAGTTTTCTTGATACTTTTTTTGTTTTTGATAATATTTAGTGCTGGGTAGTCGCAAAGGAGTCTGTTGTGTACCTATATTTCGGAACTTTCTTCCATTCGAGCTCAGCTTTGACAATGATGCTAGACATACAGACGTACCCGTTCGCCCATGTCTTGCCACCAGCAACCATATGTCCAAATTCGGTTTCGCCCTTGTAATCGAGTTAATTGCATTTGTTCGATGGTTAAATTTGTCTGCACAATCCTTACTAAAAGTTTTCTCACCTCAGATACTTTTTCGAAATACTGCAACACGATTCGTATGAAACGTCTAATTCTTCTACGATACTTTTCTAGCATGGGTTGTTGTTGTTGTTCTTTCTCATCCTCTCTTACTCTTTCCTACCTTAGCCCGTACTCGCTTTCACAGAATGTCACTAAGACTTTGCGTGTGTCGGCACAAACATATGTGTCGCTGGTAAAGATTCACACCCTTTTCCACAAAAGCGTGTTGCAGTATTGATTCATAATGCTCTTAACTTGAAAATAATAGACAGATAGCTGGTCACGTGATAGTTCAAGGAGTCCTGGTAATCTAGCTTCGACGCGGGTCGTAGAGACACTCCGTTTCGTTCTGGAAGCCAGCAGTCTGACAGAGCGCTTTTAACGGTGATGCCGGACAGAAAACTTAAACGTTTAGTCAATATACGAACGTGTGAGAACGACCCAGTCACGGGTCGTCCTTTAAATGACAGTGAGTCGGACGATTTTATAAATCTTTTTGTTTCTGACCCAATTGTACAATTGGAAAGTGGTCAAGTCCGTGAAAGGCTTCGAACACATCAGTATCTTTGCTGTACCTACTGTGAACTACATTGTTCGAAGCCTGTGTATTTGCATATGAGTTAATTTTTATGCGAACGCATATAACTTAATTAGACGTTTGTGCCAGTACGTACCTGATAGCGGCGATTAATCATATAGGATATAAGCAACAGCATTTGTCCTTCGTCTACTTCTGTCTGTCTCTTGTTATTTGTTGTAGATATGTAGCTTTTAGCTAGTTTGCTACAACGCCATCGTATAAATTTGCCAAATTAAGTGCGATTCATACTTTTTCGTTGCCCGTTTACAGAGATTGCTGCTGCTACCTCACAGGGGGTGAAGGGCAAATGGCATTGGTACGATTGCCCGAGCCGTTCCTTGAGGTTTAGCCTTAGGTCCGAGATGTCATAATGGTAGAACGAGTGAATGTTTATGTAATGGAGCCGTCATGGCGCCCATATTATTGGGCAAGAAATTGTTTCTTTGCTCAAACGTAATTCTGCCGGTGATTTATTTGCTTCGGCCATTATACTGGAGGACGTTCCGTAGAGCGATTCATAAGATTCAGAAGACCACTCGAATACCCTTATCAGGATCATGTTTTCGACTAGACCACTGAATATTTTTAGTTGATGTTGAACCTACTTGCGCGTTTTTTTCACTAAAGTGATAAAAGATATAGTACTAGAATACTGTTGTTTTTATGTTTTTATTGCTTACTTTTATTTTATTTTATAACCTATGTTTTCAATGCTGAAAATTGTGACATGTTTTTTTTTCTTAGAACTAGAAAAACTGACTACTCCAACCAAAGAGCGTAGGTAGGAGTAGCATAAATGTGAATTTCAGGTAACCCAGAAGGAGAGTGGTGCGTCGTGGAAGTAGCCACGTCTGTAAATACGAAGGGTTTATATATTCGTGTGTTTTCTTAAAACCAATAATTTCTAGTAAATTGCGATTTCCATATCTACACAGATCCGTATTTACCACGCTTACTACGACATGCAGCCTAAACATAAACGAACTAAGGTAATAATGAATATTGGCTGTATTATAATTATTATCAATTGAGACACTTTTGTCTAACACAGAGGGATTTTTTTAAGTGAGCCATCTATCATTTATCAATAATGAACTAATATATTATAATCTTCGTCTTTCTGATTCAAACAAGTTGTTTCAGTCTGTCTCCATATAAAAACATCGTTCGTTGTAAGAATCGTATGAAATTAACATCGTAGCCTGTCGTCGCAAGCTTCGTCGCGGACCCCATATAAGATGTCGTTGAAGACGAATCACTCAATGACAAGTAGTCATTTATGGGGATCTATTCACAAATACCGTCATATGTCGATAATGATCAAAGGGTGGTTCGTCCGCAAAACTCCTCGTATCTCATTGCAGTCGGATCCAAAGGTTTGAAGCACGTTGCAGTCTATTGGACAGTTAAACAAAGGACGCAGATAGTCGGCCAGCTACTAGCACAATATATCATGAAAAAGACTAGAAGAAACCTACTACTATAGTAGAAGAAGTTCAAGCACAAAAGAGTATCGTAGCTAGCTTGTACGTAGAAGAATCGGATCTTAAAAAAGGGTGTTTATAAAAATAATAGTATAATGAAGTGTACTTTCTACTAGGCCCTGATTTCTAAACGTACACTTTCTAATAACATTTTAGGTTGTATAAAGTTTTGTTTACATGTTATTAGTATCGTTCACAACTCAATCAAATCGGTTAATCATTGTTACTCTTGTAAGCAGTGCTCAAAGATGTATAGAGGGCACCATCGTTGGCCGTATCCTGCATACAATGCCTTACAATTTTAGTCCATTTTCGTCATAATAAAAGTGTATTGAAATTGTATCGTAAAACAGATGTAACGTCGCTTTTATACCCCCTGACGACATCGAATCTGCGCCCTGTCGTCAATAGTTTTAGGCCGGTTATCGAAACGTTTCTCAAGTAGATGGTCATACAACTATATTTGTGCCTATGTAACCATTGTAAAATTAATGTTTTTTTTTTTTTGTGTAGCGTAGACTCGCTCAAAATGTGAGATTAATGATCGAAGAATATTTGGAAAAGACTCAATCGGATGTACTTGATAGGTAAATCTCTACTTAATTTATACTATGTCAATAAGGCCATTGTCCTGCTAGGTCGAGTCAATTGTAGAGTAGATGATGATGCCTGGGCATTTATGAAAAATCGCCCATGGTATTAGTTAGATGTTCCATGTGTGATGAGAATACTTTTGGATACGTGATACAAATAATGTACACATTCGAATAAGCTCTCGCTATTTGCTACGGATTGCATACATAGTTTTATTGTTGTACGACGGAACACAAACCGGCAGATCCTATTTCATTTCTAGGTCCTTCATCAGGATTTAAGGATATAAGGAAGAGGCTTCGTAAGGCGACGAGCAGGTTTATGGCTAAGTATAAGTTGGACTTACAACGGGTGATTATAACCTATCTTTTATGATGAAGCAAATTATGATTCTCCTACTATTCAAGATTTTGCTACTACGATAAAAAATAAAGTTCTGTAATTAAGGAGAAGCTAAAGTAATTAAAAAGATTCGCGAATAACATAGCTTATAAAATGTCAGTAAATGAACAAAAGAGATTCAGTTATGAGTTCATTTAGGGTATTAAAACAAATATACCTCGTTAACCTGATTGTAGCACGTGGCTACCTTCTGATAAGAGTACATCGTGGAAAGTCCATTTGTAACATCCGCTGATGTTCTAATAGGCTCGTCATGCCGCTAAGAATGCGGCCTGTCTTACATTTAAAATTGACTTAGCAGCTGGGTCGCGTTTTGATGTTGGAATATTTAGCGCTATCTATTTTTTTTTTGTAGGCCACCTCAACCATTTTTCGAAAATATAAGGACAAAAATGATATTGCATTGTCTTTCCTCGTAAAACATACAACATAATCTATAAACACACGAAGACTCTGGTCCAATTCACAGGCGTATGAACAAAACGTACCGAACAAATCACTAAAACCTATTTTTTTACGTGTAGAACTGAAGACCTAAATTTGCCACTTTCGAGTCTAATTTCACGTTTGATTACGTAAAAACTTGAACATCATTCTATTACGGCCTAAGTAAGGAAACGCGTACAATACAAGCCCCGTTGGTACGCGTTTGTTAAATGGTATTTTGACCAATAAGCTTCGTATAGTTGACTTTATTGGATAGTGATAAATGAAGGACACTGCTCATTCTACTAAATTCATTCAGATCACTTAACAACTCAACGGACTCGGTCGCATAGGGTTTGGGGACCCAACTAGCGTTGCTAATCGCACGGCGTCCGAAGCTGTCCTTATCATATGGGTCATTCCTGAAAAAAGGTTTATTAGGATCAACCCAGGTTTAAGAGCGTTTGTGGAATCTGCTAGAGAAAAGCAATATATTAGGTGCAATATCCGCATACCTTTGAACGAGTTAAGCCACACTATTTTAACGTCGACTTGTAAGCCAATGTGGAAACTTTGCGATGACACCACCATACAACCCAAAACAAAATCGTGCATTGATAGAAAAACTGTCAGCAACAAGCACACTTAATGGAAATATGTGAATGATCCATTTAAAATTTCTCTAAGGTACCGGTTTCTTGTGGAAATTTTTTTTTTTTTCGCTACTAGAGTTTCTTTAGAACCTTTTGCTAAAGCTGCTTTAGAAGAGGAATTTCCGTTTTATAAAAATTTGTATTACCACTTACTAAGTTTGTTCCTAAACTAGTTCAGGCTTATTTGCGTGTAATATGAGCGCTTAAGTTTACGCATTTTGAGCCGTTGTTATCGCAGGTCACGCGCAAGGGACGCCCGCAGCAAAGACCTTCGAGTGAGCCAATAGTTGCTACAATGTGAACCGTAAATATTTCGAGTACCTAAATATTGAATAGGTTGACGATGTTGGTTAATGGTTCACCCATGGTTTTGTTGCTTGGTTGCCCGCACTTACCAGCAGTAGACCGAGCTGAGCGACAGTGAGAAACACTGCGACTAACCTATAATTCTACCATGTTCGCAGGTACAAAGCATGCATTACTAGATTGTTTCTGCGATGCTGTAGCGGTACTACGCATGCCCACTGAAATAGGAAATACGTGAAGTAATCTAGGTTGAAAAACGGGCGGAAATACTGTTTATGTTGCACCGAAGGTCAGCCGTGCGACACACTGCCTAATGGCGGTACCGATGCAGCACACAAAGGGTTCATTTGTGTACTAAAAAACCGCTCCAGGTAATAAAATGAAGAGCAAACAGTTAGCGATATGTATTGTTATGCATATTCTTTTGAGTTGATTATTAGACTGGAAAAAAACTGACTAAACACTCACTTACAACGGTTTCGTCGAACTGACGCAGGTCTATATGAACCTAGGTACGGCCCTTAGTGCGTTGTTATTATTACTTTTCCAACGCTTAACGCTTGGCAGGCCTACAATTGGAACAGCTTGCGTTTGCACACCATTCAATGGCGTCCGTAAGACATAACCGCGGCAGGAAATGAGATAAGATGGCGGGATGCTATCGGAAATGGTGGTGACCAAAAAGCGAACTCCTCTGTTGGGGCTGATGACGCGACAGGAAGTGACGGACCCTTTATCTAAGTAGATGACAGCATACGATAGGTAGTAATGGTGGTACCTTTCACAGGCGATAAAAATCATGATTACTCCACTAGATATCTACACACGAATAAATACTTTGACACGTTTATTTTCATACAACTTTGTTGAATTTCAAAGCAAACAAATAGATCCAGCTGATAGGTGCAAGCGAAAAAAATCTACACGGTTCTTCTAGACTTTTCCCGTCACAAATTGACCCGTACATTGTCGATGTTTGAACAGATTTCTCGTCAGTCAGTCAGTCAGTCAGTCTCCTCTGCCTAATCGACCAAATGAAGCTCTATTATTCCTATCGATCTAGTCAAATCTATAACATTACAAGGAACGAACATTCCCACTTTAACCTATATATCCCATATTCCCTCCTGAGTGTTTCGTTGTGCCGTCATACAAAAACGCCACATTGTATATATGAATATCCTGCTAGAATAATATTCAAGCATGTTCTCGTCAGAGGAAAGAGTTTTTCTTGTTATTGCGTGACCATTTTTTGCTTATGTTCAGTTATACGCAGCTAAACTTGAGTCTTATTTTTCCAAGAGGAACTTCTTATTTCTGTACCGCTACGGAAGTGGTGGTCAAAAAGTTTCAATTTCTAGCGTTGATTCCACGTCTCTTCTTAGCGATGGGTGTGCCCCGTTTCGTCTGGCCTCTGTTTATGCACTGTTTCACAACCTCTAGTGGAGGATACCGTCCGCGGCCGAATTTCGAAGCTGACACTGGCCATGCGATCACTTCAATGCAACCCATCATCCTGCCACAGCTTGGCCGTGGCTACGTCTGCTGTTGCTATGTTTGGAATATCTTTGCAGTCAGGATTTACGAGGTTACGAAAAGGGCTGCTTAAGGAAGTGAGTTAGTACTACATGGCCCATGTGCAACGTCGCTATGACATGCGAAGTCGTTGGAGCAGATGCTCGCAACGGAATAGGAGTAGCCCAACGGCCGGCTCAGTCAAACCATAGCAACTGCAAGACAGCTATCAGCGATTCTGTGGAGGAAACAGCCGAACAGATCGAAGCCTATATATATATATTGTTGTTTTTTTGTTGTTTTTTTTTTTGCCTTAACTAGAGCGATTACAGCAGAAAAAATAAGATGGAAGAACATTCATTTCTCCTCTAAGAGCTTTATGAAAAAGACGTAAAATAACGTGAAAAAAGCTACTCTTATTTACGTTACATATTTATGGCCTCATCTGTCACTGACGGTGTCGAATATAATGCGAGCACAAGTACCCGAGTCTGTGGTTCAGTGGTTCTGAAGAAGTTCGAAATTAAACCTCTTAAGCTCCAGCCAGACCAAGCTCCAAGCCAACCAGATTAAGAGCGAAGCATGGCATTAGACGAGTGTAAACTTCTAGTTATGTCAAATGTGTGCGTCGAAACTTAGATTTCGTGCTTTCGTTCTATCACACTCTATCGTGACTGAATAGTGCATATAAGTGAAACGTCGTCTCAAATAATATATTGGGTTGTCTAAATACTGTTGACGGTCTTTCTAGGCAGATGCATTTAAAGTTACGTATCTTAGCTAATATAACTCGTGTCGAATTATATCATCTAGAAGCTGAAACCTAGCAGTGTCTGGTGGATACGCTACAATTATTAGACCTTTCCCCATGCCTAAGATAGGGCGTCTTGAAGAAGATGAGCAAAATTTCCATTTTTTAATTGTTATATTTTACAATCATATTTTATCAGAAGATATAGATCGAAAATCGTTTTTGTTCTGGGAATTTTGATACAAAAACACTCCTCTTTCGGTGGTCGATCGACGAGTTGCAGGAGAAACTAACGGAAGGATTATAAGAGCGGCAGGTGGTTAGTTACGATATCGCCAAAGACTAGACAACGCGACGAAATCGAGCCGTTCTTAAATAATTCATGAAAACTGGATAGCATAGAACAAAAATGTACAAATGAAGAATAAAACGTTCCACAATCGTTATTGATGTCAAAATGCCGTGTGTTCGGGGAAACTAAAAAGGAATCACGCATTATAAACAGCTGCCGTCTGGCAAAACGACGGATTCGGACCTCTAGTGCCTACCTTTAGCTAAATCGGGATAGAAGATTTTCCCGTGTAGTCCGGATCTTGCACCATCAGAATATCATCTGTTATTATTTTGGTGCGTGTAGCACACTGTTAACAGTGTTCATTTAATTTCAACAAGAAAACGCAAGAATTATTTATCAAAGTTTTTCATTTATAAACTATAATAGTCCTATAGTAATTTGATGGAGTACCAGAAAAATAGCAGAAGCTAGTCAATAGGAACGGCGCGTATGTAATTAAAAGTAATATTAATTGAAAAAAATATGTCTTCCATTTGGCCTAAGAACGGTCAATATTCTTTCGACGACCCAATGTATAGCTATACAGGTATGAAGGCTTTAGAAGTAGTAACCCATAGAGAGGGGAGGAAAACCTCTAGAGTTCATTGTTCTTCTGCAGTAGCTGAAATTCTGCGATGAGATACTTCGCTTCAACATACAAATGCTCTGTTCTGTTTGCAAAAATTTGGGATTAATTAATCTTAGGAGAGAGCTGTGAAATTGCCTTTCTTCTGAATGTCCGCTTCATTCAGAAAAAATGCATTGCGTTTTGATACGGTAAGTACTAGAGGATGTTTCGACTGTGGCCAAAAAAACTCTCGTGAAAAAGGACTGCTGAATATACGTTGTGCCACTTGCTTGACGCACACTATAAGAAAATAGAATACATAAATTTGATTGGGTTCCATATTTGATCGTAGAACGATGTAATTCCTACTATTTGATTCACTGTCATAAAATTTTTACATGTGTAACTTAAATTTTCTGTTGCCAAAGTATCAATTCTCTGAAGTCTAATAGTATTATGCAATTTGACTGTATGTTTCAAGCTGTTCTGTGTACTCTATTTTTGCAAGTAGTGAGCGCAAGATTTTAGAACTTACCAGCAGAAACTGTACGTAAGTTGAGCCCGAATTAAAATCATTGAAGTATCATCGCTGATATAGAAACAGCACACGCATGACATATTGTATAATTATTATATTATTATTACTACTATATTATTATAATTTGGTAAGTGGACGTGCTGCGTTTGGACTTCTTACGTAAGTTTATGAAAGTTCTCATATTTACACCTAGACGTAAAATGGCATCAGTGGCATATTTACAAATGGTGTAGCCGATGTATCATGCCTAGTAAAATAAATCTGCTGAGATGAATTATCAATCTGTTTACACTGAACAAAAAGAGAACGGCTTGTTAAGTAATCTGCGTCAGAAGAGTTGTGTTCCAGCCAAACGTTGTGATAACTTTAAAATCAACTGACAGATCCACGTTACGTGACCTCAATATAAACAGAAACACTCGACCTGAATTTGCTATATCAGCTGGCTACTCCTATCACAGGACAAAGGCTTTTTATTAATGATGGCCGTAGAAGCCGCCAGGCTGAATGCAGCGGTACCAGTATATGCTTTGCATAGTAAAAACAGGGCGTCCCGGGGTCAGTCCTTGGGTGGTTCTGGCCTAGCTCAACAGTTGAACTATCTCTTTTGGTTGGATAATGGGCACTACTATTTATTTTATCACTAAACGTAAGATTTTCTTCGTCAGACATAGTTCTGCGTCAAACGATGTGATTACGTGCTATGCAATGCTTGCGTTTAAAAAGTTGATGAAGAGTCTTGAAGACATAGAATTTGTTACAACAACATGCAAGACTGGAACTGAAGAACGATGTTTTTAAGCCCAGTCTGAATATATGAGTTTGAAAAAAGAGCTATACTAAATTAGCGACTTTTTCCAATGTGTACCTCACCTAAATGGTCGTTTGATTAGTATTCAGATGCAAAGATGATGATCTTTTTATTTTTAAATCAACCACGATCACTCCTTGGACATCAGTTGATTCTAAACGTGTATTCAATTCAAGTAAATGATTTCTTAATTAATGAAGTTGCTACCTAAAAATTTAGAGAACGATTGACTAAGGGTCTTAAATCCGTCAAATCATCTACCTTTCATCTTTCAGCAATCGCAGTAATTGATTGATAATTAAAAAAGCTAGCAATTAATGCGAGCTTTTTAGAGTCAGAGCAAACCGAGATTGAATGACGAACTAACTTTACTCTTAAGATATTTAATATAGTAGGCAAGATCCGAGTCTGTCACCATTACTTACATTTTATTAGAACGACAACTTTTGTTTTGTTTGATAAAGCGCGTGAGCGTGTCTTCACATTGATATATCACTTCTGCCTACTCCACGAATACAGCCTATAAGATAAAATTGCTCAAAATCTCAGTCTGCTGTAATACTTCCTTTCTATATATATATATATATATATATATATATATATATATATAGTATTGCTTTCGATGGGATAGACACTGTGTTGTATAACTATTTTTTCTTTTTCAACTTTTGCAGTAGCTGAAACGCTAATATACAAGATACGAATGCTCTGTTCTGTTTAGCAGAGTCAAATAAAGGGGATTAAACACTTTTTGGTGTTTGTGTAACTACTAAGTTGCATGACTAATGGACGACTCAATAAAGCTTCTTTAGGTTGACCGACGGGAGATGCAAACCTATCAACCCATCGATGGAAAAATGTGTCAGTCGCTTCTCACAGTTGCTACAAGTTTTCCGACCAACTATGAACGTCGTGTTAACAATCACAGTATTGCTAAAAATCATTTTTTGATTTAAAAATCTGCAAATTAGACCTCAATTAGCTTTCGAACATTTCACTGCTGCCCAGATCTATGAGGAAACAAATCCCTACAAAAATCGAAACGCTTTGTGAACCGAAGCCGGTGTTCTAGGCACTTGTATATTTAGAGAATTCAATGATGCCTCTTCCTTTATAAGCTATTTTTGCCTGCAAGATCATTTTACCTATTTCGAGCATCTCGCTTGATGTGCCGTAAGTCTACGGACCGTATAAAATTTAAAAATAATTAATTCCGCTCACGCTACGGACATTTATGGAAGTAAATGTTCAGGTCGACGGGACGTAGCTTTTTCAAATGACGCTCTACAGATGTCATCAAACCTATAAGGGCAAACTATGCAGACTTTACGAAGTAAGCAACTCGAATTATACGAGTAGTACGACTGACGCTTTTGTCGTTGGTAAGCCCAATTGTCTATTCTACCTCTTCATGAGCGTTCGATACGTCGGAGCTCTAGGACTCGTTTCGCCCTATCTGTAACCGCTTTGGAACGAACGATGCGGAAAGATTGAACTGAGAGTGTCCCACCTCCCTCCCAGTGTAACAACGATTTTTTCCAATTGAGGAAGAACGTTGAACTGCCACTAGCTAATTCTAGGAACGACAATAAGAACTATGATTTGTTTTTCTTTTTCGATGTTTATTAGGCCCGTTATTATTGTTAAAAGCACTATATCAGCGTTCGTGTTTGGCATGAAGGGCTTATATCAGTGTCGAGAAGTCAAACAATAGAAACCGCTCGAAGGCAATTTCTTCGAACGCTTTACATTTTACCTGTCTCCTAAATAGTTTCATTCGAGTAACTGTAGCAGCTACCCGGACCCGAAAATCTTCTTTCAGTCGGCGCAATACGTCAGAGCAAGCCTGAAGCAATCCAACTTGATCTATTGAATAGACGTGCAAGCCGCTAATAAGACGATACAGAGTTAACGTTACGTTTCTGCGTGGATCACGTCACCTTTCCCAGCTCCGTATCTGGCATGTCTACTTTGGAAGAGAAAACCTTACTTCCAGTTTGTTGAGTAGCTTTGATTACTATAATATTTTCAACGAATTCGCTGACTCGGTCGGTAAATGCTCAGGCTCAATTTAAACGGGGACGAAGCCAGCGATTTAGTCGCGCACGACGGCTGAATACCGTCTAAACCTAAACAACCTGTTGGACGAAGGCTCATTTTTCCACAGGATTAAAGCAATGGAAATAATGTTAAATTACCATTGTTTCAATGTGCTATATGCCTAATTGGAAGCTGGTCATTATAAAAAAATTGGATAAATCAGAACCAGTTAATTCATAATGTTTGATGGTTGATCAAAGCAAGCTCTTTGTGGCAATATACTTTGGTGCCGTTACGTGGTGATAAGGCGCGATAGATGCCGTCTCCAACAGCACAATTAGAGATCTTTTTGTCCACAAAAAACACATTAAGCTTATGGTCAATCTTCGGTAGTCAAATATATTTTTGACGCTGATAGTTAATGAGTGTTTCGTTTGTATGATCAAAACTTCTATTTTGCCTGTATCATTAAAAGTAAATATCCACCCCTCTGTCTTATGCAAGTTGAATGCAGAGTAATATAGTAACACTTTGAAACTAAATAAAAAATATATATGTAAAGTATATGATTGAGTATTGCCAAAACTAATGCAGTAGGAAACCTTAGCTATTTAAGGATATATATTCCATTTTAAGTTACCTTAGTAAATAAGAACGATCTAGTTAGACGCTGAGTGTAATAGAATTTCAATGCGAGGATAGCTTGTTTTCCTTTTGTCTTAGGCTTGCTGCCACCCCAACGGAGCAGAAGGCCATGAAACAAGGAATTTACCGTTACGTTATTATACTCTCCATAAGGGTCTACTGTAATTATGAAAGGGTTGAATTTCCTCCCCAACAAAACCCATGAATGGGGCGCAACTTCATCTTATCCCCGGTTTAGTTGCTGTCCAGTGTCGCAGGTATTAGGTCGATTCAAGATATTAGCTTGGCGGCTACTCCAATTCTGCCACTGACAGGTTCAGACAATGTTTGTCCCATTGGAAAGCGTTCGCATCGTTTATGCTTAGAAGTCCAATGTTCTGATGGAAATCAATGATACAACCAGGCGTCATCGAACATTTTTTGTCATTGCTTTAACGCGGGGAAATCCATTTATGTATGCATGAACTTTCTAGGAATTACCTATAAATATGTACAGATATTACATCAAGTTATTTTAACTTGCGATCACGCCGTACTTTGTTGTATCACAACCGATGCTGTCAGAGCGGTAAAATATCGCTAAAGAAGTATTTTTTGAAGGTGCTGTGTGATCTGAATGGACGTATGCGCATGTCCATTCTGGACAAGATGGAGATGGTGTATTTATAAAGTTCACCTATGGATTTAAATAGTCTGCTGTTAGCTACGACAATAATATCTGC